TATTTACCCTAACCTTAACCCTAACCGTTAATTTGTGACTCTTAATTAATGGATACTCATGAATCAAAGAGAGTTGAAAACATTTTTGAAAAGAAAGTAGGAAATAGCTTTAAAATATATAAGGAAAGGGGCAAATGAAGAGATTCTAATAAAACATGTATCCGTACATACAAGGTAATAAATTATAAATTGTATTACAGCTCTCATTATTTTTGTTCCACTCCCTCTTTTCTATGACACCATGTAGTTTTTCTCAAACTTCGTTTCATGTTTGTGCATATTATACAAAGTACCCTCAACACTGTCGTGAGGACTGCTCCCTACAAAGGAATAAAACCAAAATTAAGACCTCTTTCTCTTTCTTCTCTTCTCTCTCTGTTTCTCATTCTGCTCCTCTCTGTCTCTCTTTCTCGCATACTTGACACAATAAGAAAAATCATCAGGTACCAGAAATAAAATGAGAACTTGAAGATAATGCCTTTTTGCTATAGTAGGGAAAATATAGGTCGGCAAACATTTTCTGTAAAGGGCCAGATAGTAAATTCTTTAGGCTTTTGGGGCCATGTGTTCTATGTTGTAACTACTCAACTCTGCTATCATAGCCCCCAAAGTGATAATAGACAATACATATATGAATGAGTGTAGCCGTGTTGCAATAAAACTTTATTTACAGAAATAGGCACCAGGCCATATTTTGCTGGCCACTATAGCACAGTATCAAGTCCAACATAGCCCTGGAGTAGGGGCTGGGGATTGGGATTTTTGTGTCCACATAGGGATGGATACTGAATCTTGGGCCAGCATGAGGTGTAGAACTAGAGCTGAAACAATTGCATAAATCTGAGTCTTCTGAAGCCCTAAACCATTCTTAAATACATTCTTTTCATTCCTTTGATTCCTTCAAAATAACAGTTCATTGCACAGGACACTATAATCCTTTACCTGCTGGCCCAGAAAAATAGCAAAGAGGCTCTACGTGACTGGCATTCAGGGGTCTTGGTCACAAACAATAGTATCACCCATATATGCTTTAAGCAGATAATAATTTCCAGGAGGTCTAGAGACCTGGGATCTAAATTTACTCAGCCAGGTATAAGGACCAATCTACTGCAGGGTGTCACCATGATTGTCAAGCCTGAAGGCCAGAGGCTCCACCACTGTCACTTCTCCCAGGGCCTCTGCTTGTGTGTTTGCTAGAATATGTATTCCCTTCTCACAGTGGCCCCCTCCTGCCTCTCATCCCAGATTCAGGACATATGTGCATCTCATTGTTGGAAGCTTCAAGACTAGGGAGTCTAGAGATAGGAATTTTCTTTTTCTACCTTGGGAAGGAGAGACTTTAAATGCAAGAAATTAATAAAATGTAAAGAGTTTATTCAAAGATGTTGGATAACTACAAAGAACTAAAATCTATGACAGTGAAGATTTTTAAAAGTATCCTTTAAATTAAAAAAATTCTACCTTGTGCCACATGTGGGGGAATAGTCTATTGATCTATTACGGGGTAAAAAAAAGAGATTTAAACTTTTGGCCCAGAGGTAGAGGTAGGAAAACTATCCAGCTGACTAACTAATGCGTCTTTTTAGTGTTAGTGTATTTGAATGAAGATCCAAACAAGACCCACATCTTGCATTTGGTTGTCTTTTAAGTCCCTTTTAGACTATTAATATAACCAGCATTCCCTCTCACTTTCTTTTCATTCTATTGAATTGCTCTAGAAACCAATTCATATAGAAAGAATCTATTCTAGATTCTAGTGAATGTTTTCTTCCTTTAGCTTGTTTGTGTATCTTCTCCATTTCCTACAAGTTGGTAGTACAATCTAGAGATTCATTCCATTCACGTTCAGTTTTTGTTTAGATAAGAATATTCCACTGCTACTGTGTTACAACATAAGGCCAATAATATCTAGTTGTTCCCCTTTCAGTGATGCCAAGATGAATTAGAGGGTTCAGGTTGTTTTGGCTCCATTATCAAATTGGCAATGAACATTTCATGCTATGATTTTAATATGTATGACAATCATTGTCTATATTCATTATTTATTTCATGATAAATAAAATAGTGATTTTCTAAATCTATAATTCTTTGTATGTTTTAAAGAATACCATGCTTTCACCAACTATTTGAAATATAATTTGTACAGATTGATTTTCTTTATTGGTTTTCATAGTGAGTTGGTACTCTAGTGAGCTCCTATGATGACTGTCTTAATCCATTTAGGATGCTATAACAAAATTCCTTAGACTAGGTAATGACTAAACAACATAAATTTATTACTCATAGTTCTGGATGCTGGGAAGTCCAAGATCAAGGTGCTGGCAGATTTAGTATCTGGTAAGGACTTACTGTCTGCTTCATAAATGACATCTTGTTGCTGCATCTTCACAAGGCAGAAAGGACAGAGAGAGCCAGGAACATAGGACAAACAACCACTCAGGGGGGTAGGCATGGAGGGATATTATTCTTACAGCTCACAATTCATTGCTAAATAGAAAGTGTTTCATAAATATAAAATATTCTATAAAACTTTATTAAATCAATCATTTGTGAAAACAAACAAACAAATGAATAAACTAGCAAACCAAGAAAGAAAACAATGCAACAGCAAACCAAGACATGGAGAGTCCTTGCGACTAATTCCCAAAAAGAGAGTGAATGGGAGCATTTGATTAGTAGACCACTAAGCTCATTTGCTTTCCTTACCACATGAGGAAACTGTGGTCCAGAGAGATGAAGTGATCACTCAAGGCCAAGATACGGGGCAACAGCAATGTATGATAGTAAACAGCAGTCTTGGGAGACTCAAAATATTTTGGTTTGCAAATGACCATTGCTAAATAATCCAGAATATTTTGCTTAGGACCATGGAGATAGGACTGAGTGGCAGTTGTCTCCTCATTAGTGGTAACAGTTGGTTCTCTGTATTGGCAGGTTTTGCATCCAGGATTCAACCAACTGCAAATTGAAAATATGAAAACAATATATATATTATAGCAATACAAAAATGAAAAATAATAAAAATTTTTAAATATGTTATAAGAACTATTTGCATAGCATTTACATTGCATTAGGTATTATAAGTAGTCTAGAGATGATTTAAAATATACAGGAGGATGTGCATAGATTATATGCAAGTACTGCACCATTTTATATAAGGGACTTGAGCATGTGAAGATTTTGGAATCTGCAGGGGCTCCTGGAGACAATACCTGGAGGGAGGATACTCAGGGAGGACTGTTTTTGCCTTTCACACCTCTACTCCCCAGCAGGAAGAGCCGAGTAAGCCAGGAGCATCCAGGCTCAGAGACAGACAGTTAGAGCATTACCATTCTCAGTGGAGATGTTTCTTGAAGCAGAAGTTTTCTGACTTGGGCATTTAGTGTCATCCTTTTCAAGTGAACAGAAGGTGATTCCACCCTTCACTCTTTCCCTTTTTTGCCTCACCCCACTCTCTTCTCATGTCTGTTCCCCCTCTGTGCTCTGCCCTGGCCATCTTCTCCATCTACCACCCTAGCTTTGGCAGGGTCACGGCATTGAGCGCTCCACATCCATGATGATTAGCTGCCCAGGAAAACGAAGACAATGAAAACAGAAACTGCACGGGAACTCTGCTGAACTCAATAAGCTCTTTCACCTTTCTTGGACCTCCCCAGTTCTCACAGAACAGCTCTCCTGACCTTGGAGACAGTGTTTTTGTCATCCCTCAAGAAAGACGCCAAGCCTCTGGCTGAACCCGTTGGGATGAGCTCTAGGCTTCCTGTTCACCGCCATGGGTAGCTGGTGGGTGTGTCAGCAGGCATCATGGCCGACGGTGGCTTCATCTCATGGTTCTGGTTTCAATGTGAGGCACGGTGACCACATAACTTGCCATTTCTGCCAGTCACCTGCTTTACTGCCTTGTTGGGCTTATTTCTTTCCCTAAAAGAGACAATTATCATGGTTTCCCCCCAAACTCATATTTTTGGGATAATTTGTTTTATCTCTATAAATTAGATACTGAAAAGATAAAGAAAAATCATACTGGAAAGTTTCACTTGCCCAAAACTTTAATTCTGTTTAAATAAGCTTCCTCCAGATCCATAGAATGAAGGAAATAATATGAAATTCTTACCTTCTGCGTGGTCACCATGTGTCTCAGCCTTTTTGGCTACTTGATACTTTGCTGCCAGTTTCTTATTAAAGATGGCATAGGGTAGGCTTCTACCCCTCAGTCTTCTTAGTATATATTTTTTTAATGTTTGTTGGAGAAGACTATGAAATGAATTTAAAAAGAAACAATGTATAAGTTTTAGGACATTATTTTAATAATATTTATATAACCATATCTACGTAAAGCGACATGATGAATAAATAAAAGTGTTAATATATTAAATTGAGCACATTCACAGGCTCCTTTAGGGCAAAGAGAAAACAAACAGGAGGCACCAGAACCACCAAGCGTTGCAAGCTGCACGCAGCTTCTCATTCTTATTCAGGGCACAATATCAGCATTTATTTCTGCACTGTGACAGGCTTCAACCGGCTACTGAGAATAAGGAAATAGCTCTATAACCCAGGATTTTTACTCACCGCGGAACTCAGTTCCTAAGTCTGTAGGAAACTCTATGTACCTAGGAGGATAAATGCCTGTTAAAGTTCGTAGGAAAGAGTTTGGGGGCAGTGGGGCTTGGGGAATTTGGTGTAGCCAAGTCATGATCCCTAGATGATTTCTGATTCCAACAGGCCTGCCTATGACTCTTAGCAACCAAGATTTCCTTGGGAAATATTCACAGAAGTCTTCTTATTCTGGGAGAGACTATTGCTGTTCCAAATAAGCGAGCACTCCTTTCTTTATTCTCTGGGTCAAAGAAGAGAGATGGAAGCTTCTCTAGGCTGGATGCTTCCTCCCTCCCGTGAGTCACCTGAGACTTGGGTAAATGAGAGGCATAGATAATGACACTTCTTTATTATTATAAATAAAACCTTGATGTATCTGTGGACACCCCTAATATTTGCAGGCTCATGGCATGGTGGGGGAAAAAGAATTTGGAGATCCATCTCGCAGCCATCCGAGGTGGGACTCCAGGAGCAGTTGACTGTGAAAGCTGCACAATTTGTCATCTTTGCCACCTTACTCTTCATGGCAGTCACAGTGCTTGGAATGACTGAACTGAGGAAAATGGGTAAATCGCATGTTTTCCATATTTAGATTTCAACATGTTTCTATGTCTAAATCAATATCAGCAAGGGATGTTTTCCTGCTGAATGAGATTGTTGTTGTTCTTGTGAGACCTAAACTTTTTCTAACCTCATGGTAGTCCTCATGGATTTCCAGAAAGGACTTCCTCTCATCACGACTTTGCAGGGGCTGGTTCATTATAGCTCCAGTTCTGAGGTTCAAGGCAAAGTACTTGCAAATTGCTACCCATAATGCACAACGAACCCCCAAGGAGCTAATTTTTTTTTCACTATTTCTATTTTATCATATAGGATTATGTTGATTTCATGAAAATTTAAAAATGAAAATTCTTTCCTGCTGAGTAACACTGTTCAATGAGAATTCAGGAAAGATGAGGCCTCCTAATTAGACATTCAGATGAAAATCTTAGCACAGTGGAAGAAAGTTGAAAAGAAAAAAAAATAAAGTATGCTTCTAAACAGTACTTGATTATAATCCTCTTAAGATAAAAAAAAATCCATTTTTTCTTTATCTTTTCTATTGGAGTTCATTGAAATACTTGTTAAACTTGGGGACACAGAATGACACTTCCTTATGGGCCCAAAGAGGACAAGTGCTCCATGAAGTAGTAAGTTTCTCTTTCAATTCAAGGGCTCAAACAGAGGCTGCATTACAGATCATCAGGGATGCTGTGAAGAGGTTGAATACAATGGCCTTTAAGTCCCTGTAAACTCCAAAATTCTATAAAACTATAAACTTTTAAACATTTTATTACCATCAAGAGAGAAAAGAAAGGGAGCTACCATTTTGAGCCATCTCCTAAGTGGCAGTTGCCTTCCAAACAATATGAAGCATGGGACAATTAGTGTCAGTGATTTTCACATAGTTTAAAAAGAGTAACAGCAAATACCTTGAATTATTTGAAAACGTTTTCGCCTATACTGTGTTGTTTGATGCTCCTGTAAGCCTATGAGGTGGGGAGGGCAGATTTCTCCATTCTCATTTCGTAGATGGGGACACACACCAGACAGGCTGTGTGACTGGCCCCTGGCCAGTAGGGGTGAACAGGGTGACCAATAATCACAATTCACCAGGTTGCTGGTGTCTGTTACAGCTCCACAAGCAAGAAGCTGGGTATACTGACTGGTTCCGGATATCCTTCTCATCTGTAAAATGAAAGGAAATAATAACCATCCAATCTACTTTGAAGGATATTGAAAATAAACAATTTCCCGAAAAGAGGCAACAATTTATAGTTTGTTTTTCTAATGTTTACACCTAAGTGGACATTTAGGAATAACATTTATCGGGTGTCGGGTAGGTGGGGGGAGGGGATGGGTATATACATACATAATGAGTGTGATGTGCACCAACTGGGGGATGGACACGCTTGAAGCTCTGACTTGGGGGGGAGTGGGGACAAGGGCAATACACATAACCTTAATGTTCGTACCCCCACAATATGCTGAAAAAAATAAGAAAAAATATGATGTGTGTGGAAGTATAAAGTGCAAATATTATGACCATAACAATGGCAATTGGTAGTTCATTTTAGATATTTCAATGCAGTTTCATTTACAATTTTTAAATTTCAATTTGTTGAATTTGGTTTTTTGATCTCTACTGATTAAAATATCCTCCATGTATAGAAAGATAGGATCATTTTTAAAAGCTGTATTCTATAACCGTTTATTAATAATGTGGAAGATTTTTGTTTTTCTTTGTATGCAGTTTTTAACATGCTTTAATTATGTTGTATGTAATTTAGTAGTTTTCTGTTTTAAATATAAATTATCAAAACGTAGTTTTTAAAAACATTATTTTTAATGGCTGTTTATAATTCCATCAAAAGGATTAGCCATTTCTTCATTGATAGCTATTTAGGTAAAAATAAAAATCATAACTAATATTTATTGGGCACCTTCTATGTGCCAGACACATTTAAAGTAATTAGATATTATTTTCCTTTTTTTCTTTAAATGAGAAAACAAGCTTAGGCAGGGAAATGCAAGGATTTGAACTGCTTATTTCAAAATTAGCCTTTTCTAGCGTCAGGGTTGAGAACACAAAACATGGCGCCTTGGTATACCGAGTACTTTAAGCTAAAGGAAATTGAAAAAAACTGCAGAAGCAGAAATTCTCTCTGACCTTTTCTTGCCCCTCTTCTCTCAAAGATCCTCATGCGACAGGTGTCTTGCCCTAGACCCAGACGAAAGGAATGGAGACAGAGACACAGAGAAGAATCTGAACAAACAGATCTTGTAAGTTCTTCACCTGCCCAAGTTTATTACCATTAAGTCATACCCCTTTTTGTCCAATAATATTTTTACATGACTATCTATTCTTTAACAAACCTAAACATAGAAATATATAGTTTTCCCTGGGCCTTCATTTCTAATGGTTCTGAGTCTCATAACCCTTGGACACAGTATTAAATAAATTTGTTATGCTTTTCCCTTATTAATCTGTCTTCTGTTGTAGGCATATCAGCCAAGAACCTTGAGATGGGTGAGGGAAAGACATTACTTTTTCTCCTCTGCATAGCCTATGTTTACTATAATAACACAACTTTTAAAAGGGAGCATTTGTCTAAGATAAGTTGCATACACTACTTAACTGTGTTTTCAGGTTTAAGGAAATTGAACGTGTAGATTCTTTTCACTGTGACGACTTTTATAAATATTTACGTTAGATCAAAAAATTAAGAATTTCAGAAAATATGGGATTGCTTTGGTAACCCAAATAAAATGTATCTAAACTCTAAGAATACCCTAGCGCAGGATCTAGGCTCAAGCAATTGATTGACAGCTAGAGTTCAATCGAGTTGGGTTCTCAGTGGAGTATGCAGTACTACGGAAATCTAAGACCTTCACCAATTTTGCTTCCTCCTTGAACAAGAGGGTAGTTGGAGGTGCTTCAATTGTGTTTTTATTTATGATGTCTAAGTGCTTTTAGATCTGAAAGAGAAATGAGGGACATAACTTCTCACATGGAAAATGAACCAAGGAATGTATTCCCTGAAGACTAATAAATCTACCTTTTAAAAAACATAGAAAATTTAGTTAATTTAAATGATCACATCTGTGATTCAAAATACATCTGGCCTTATAGAAAACAGCTGGGTCCAGAAGCCAAGCTGGTGAAGGCTGACTACATCGTAGCAGGGAGATAATTGGTCTCAGAAGTAAAGGTTTCCAAATGCTCAGCTATTCAACATTATTTCAAGGAGTGTCTCTGGAGGAAGATTGATCTTGACATGCCATTCTTCTTTTCCGTGGTGTCCTCTCACTGTGCATGAAGACAATGACAGTTAGCAGGGGAGCTGGAGGTAAGAGCTCCCAGAGAATTTGCAGGAGATTCATTCCTATAGCAGACAGACTTCAAGTCGATCAAGGAGTGGACTCTTTGTGTTGGTCCACTGTCTTCAAAGCAAGCCCTGAGTCTATGAGCAGAGGAGTAAGACCATGTGAAGAGGCATCAGATGGTTTAGGGAAAAGGTAAATGTTCAGCTAGTCCTTTAGACCAATGGTTCGTAATCCTGGGAAATAGAGAGACTGTCACCAGTGTTAGATTTTTGATGTTCTCAAGAGTGAGTTTTGTGCACGGAAAATATTATTCAGAGGTGACACCGGTTTTAAATGCTAATAGGTCAGTAAAGCTATTTACTTAAAAACCATTTTTTTCCTTAGGTTCTTAAATCTTAATATTCTGTGTATAATGCTGGTAAATTTTTATAGGACCCTCAATTAATGTTAGGTATCATTTATAAACTTAGATCATTAACTTCCTTTAAATATTTTAAGTTACATTTATAAATTTAATATCATTGACTTCCTTTTTAAGTAGCCTGACTGATTTAATAAACTTTTTCAAGTTCTTAAATAATTCTTATAAGTTTAATAAATTTAGCTTATGACTAAGGTGAATCTCAAAAGCCTTTGAATCAGTGGTTCTCAAAGTGTGGTCCCTGGACCACAGCCCATGGGACCTTGCTAGAAATGCAGATTCTCAGGCTCCACCCCAGATCTGTTGAATGAGAAACTGCAGATTGGGCTTCGCGAGCTGTGTTTCAGCAAAGCTTTCCAGGTCCTTCTGAGGCATGCTAAGGTTCAGAAACCTATGCTTTAATTGTTCCAATATTATACACAAACTTATATGATTTCAAGTTAATATCATAAGTATAAATCAATCCCTTAATTGCACACTTTCTGTTATAATCATAAGATTTATGTATTAGAACATCCTAATATGTCAAATTCTTTCCTGCATTTTCCATGACTAAAATATCTCTCATATATGTTATTTCTAAGTCTAACATAAAAATATGAATACTAAGAGGCACGATGTATTTAATGTCTTCTTACTTAAAGAATTTTCCCTTTCAGGAAACAATTGTGGTATTGCCTATCATGGGACTTAAATTTTAAATTATCTACTTAGCTCCAGGAGGCTGCTACTTGGCCTGAGGTTTTGTTGGGGGTGAGGTCTGGAACTGGTGACATGATTTCTTTATAAAAGAATCAGTGACTATAAGTCACTGATTCCATAGATTCCAAAATTCAACAAGGGTGTGGTCACCTTGGCCCACCATCTTGTATGGGACGTATATCGTTTCTTTATTTTTAAGAAAAATTAGAGTCCACAGCCTTCACTCATCTTAACCACTTGGCTAGCTTTTGTTAATCAGTTACTATTTTCTTCTATTCTGAATTCATTTCTTGTTCTTCCTGTCAAGGCAACAAATGGTCTCCTTATTTAAATTACTTCTAGGTGGCTTCAGAAAAGGTTGCCTGACTCTACAAAGGCTATTTCCATGCCACTGACATGAGCCTATGGAACCTTATGTACCCTACATGTGGTCAGTGAATCATAAGTATTTGGTTTTGTGCTTATACCTACAATTACTTTTCGGTTGAATGGAGATGCTGTTGTACTTATAAAATATGGCATTTTCAAGCATTACTGATTTTATAGTAGTTTTTTGTCACTATGTATTATTTTCATCTCTGGGTATTAAAAATACAGCTGTATTTAAGTATTCACAAAATCATTTTCTGTTAGAATAGTCCTCATTTGGAAACTACACTATAAGCAAATATAAAGATAGGTGCTCTACGTGAAATGCATTTTGTTATTCGTCTTATTAATTATGATCCAAGAGCAACACATTTCAGCCCAAAGGAAGCATGCAGGGTATAGAAACTGTAAAAATATGGATTTCGGTATAATATGCAGGCCTAAGGTTGATACTGCTAACCTAGCATCATCAAGAGGATCTATTGGGAATAGATTTTCAAGTATAATGTTGAAGATATAATTCTGGCTAGCTCAAATAATTCCCTTTTTCTATTTATGTGAACAAACTACTTATGAACACTGTCACCACCATGGGATGTCTCTCACCTGGATGATTGCAGTGGTCTCCCTGCAGCTACGCTCACCACCTGCATTTCCACGTATCCCCCTCCACTCATTTACACAGTCTCCGTAGGGAGCCCAGAGAATCCTACATCAGACCATGTTACTCTTTGGCTCCAAATCCTCCAATGCCTTTTCATCTCATTCTAAGGAGGAGCCATTCTTTACCATGGTTTCTGGGACCTTCTGTGATGTGACCTTCATTCTTTGTTCTGACCTCATTGCCACTTCTCTCCTGCAGCCACACTGACCTGTTTTCTAAACACATCAAGTATATTTTGCTTTAGGACTTTTGAATTTGCAACTTTCTTTGGTATGATCCTCCACTGGTGTTCACATGACTTCCTAACTCACCTTCTTTAAGTATTTTCTTAACTATTACTTTATCAATACAGACCTTCCCATCTACCTGATTGAAATGATAACATCCACCTCTGCACTGCCTCCTCCTCCCACCCTTCCCCATGCCCTGCTCTTTCTTTTTTTCCATAATATTTGTTACCTTTTCATTACATTATTGTCTTTGTCCTCCTTGTAGAATGTATACTGTATGAGATCAGGGATTTTTAGTTTCTTTTTTTTTTCTCTACCTTATTCCCCATGCCTGAAATAGTGCTGGCACATGGTCAGAACTCAAAAGGCAATGGTTGAATGAAGTAAATATATAGAATCCTAAAAGAAGAAGTCTATTTATTATTGATCCCCACTATCTTTCATTGACAATCCCAGAATAGAATTCTATAAATTCTGGGTGTGATTTTTTTTTCTGGAAGAATGTATCCAATGGGTACGCCACAAATGAGTATTGTATATAGCTGTAGAGACCTAACGTTAGTCAAAAACAGGGTGTGGCATCTGAGTTTCATAAAACAGAATGAATATAGCACCCACCTGTAACTCTTGTCTGTAACCAGGGCTCAGAAATTTTGAAAAGCTCCTCCTTTTCCATCCTTGACTCTCCCTCTGCTTCCACACCTCACCCCACCCTAGGGCCATCCCCAAAGCTGTAATTCAAGAAGTAGGGAGGATGGAGCCCACTTCTCTGTTGCTCATTTCCTCCTAGAAACATGGAAACCTAGTATCATGGACTCAACTCCTTTATCTTATTTAAAGAGCAGAGCAAGTTCAAAATATCAGAACCTTCTTCGGATTCGGATTTTATGATCAGTTTAGGCCAAACACATTTATTATGTGTGCTAGGTAGTGTCTGTTGTTTTCTCAGCTTGGCACTTGCTGTTCTCTCCACCACTGGGGTTGTATGTCTGCAAACTACATTTCCCAGACCTTTTGTGCCAGCTGGCTTCCTGGTGTGCTCTTCAGATGAAAGGCACTAGCAGGAGATCGCAAAGAGAAAGAAGGAAAAGCCATATACTTTGGGTAGTAGCCTCTGGCATTCACAGCAATGGCAGCCACCTGAGGTGTTACCCGTGGGTGTAGGTTTTAGAATCACTGTGGGAGTTCAATTCCCTTTTCTCTGCTTAGGAGTGGTGTGATGCAGTTCCATCAAAGTAGCAGCCCATGTGGGCTCCCAGGATCCAGTCCAGGAGTGGCAGCGGTTTTCTGATCTTAGTGTAACAATAATTCTCTCTTTTTTGCTTTGGAAACATTCCTCCCTTCAACCTCAGCAATGCCAACTCTTCCATAATCAATGTTTTTTCTCAGCATGCCCCTGTTTTCAATACCTAGAGTGATACCTCCTTTTTTGACTGGGTGTGGAGTCACTATCTGAACCCCAACATATGATTTTTGCCTCTATTCCCAAGTAGATAAATCTTAACAATATGGTTATTATTCTCTACAATCAGTAAGTCACAAAGAGAATCCTAACAAATATCTTATATAAGAAGCAATGGGTTGTGGAAATAAATGAAGATCGACAAAATGAGAAGAAGAAAAGGCTACTTACTCAGACTCAGAGCTTGCTATGGCAAGAGAGTTAACCACTATGAATTGTGTTTTGGCAGAGACTCATAGGCAGGCTCAGGACGGGGTAAGCTTTGGAGTGGAAAAAAGAGAAAGCTTCAGGTGTGCCCTGAGGGGAGGCTATTGGTGTTGGGGAGCTGGAGGTGGGTTAATTAGAAGTGGGGTATTCCATGTGCTTGATTAGGGTTGCTTATTTGGCTTATCTCTGGTTGGCCCTAAATTGGCAGTGGAGTCAAAATTTAGGGAAGCTGTCAATTATTAATCAAGTCCTGGCCATTTTAGCCAATCATTACAAAAGTTACTGTTTAACGTCTGCTGCTGTTACTACAGATAGCAGTTTGACATCCTACAACTCTGACTTATAGTAGTGTGACTTCATGGGCTGATTATTATAGATTGAGAGTTAGTTTCCTGAGCAGGTTGGTGGTGATTGTGGGTCAGAGTTTTATTTTTATGTACAGTCTGGCTATTGTCCATTTGTAGATTCAGGCTCTCGGGGTTAATATTCTTGTGTCATCCTTCTTTACCTGATGAACCTGGGGAAGAGTGTTGGGTCTAGGTGAAGGCTATAAGCTTGGGAAAAAAGGAAGAACTGCACATCTTGGATCTTTTAAGCCCTTCAAGTCATCTCATGAGCTGCATAGGATAGTGAGGCTTGATATCAGAAGACAGATTTGGTATTTCGCCTTAATGCCAGAAACTCAGAATTGCGTGAGTCAGTCAGCCTTCTTTCTTCAGATCCAGACTCTGAAATAAAATCCAGAAAGCTATGGGAAGTAAATTTGAAGTGCTAGACAAGTTGACAATTTGTTTATTTTTTAGATAACTTTTTATCCCCAGAGTCATATTTTGAGGAATTTGTACAGATTTCCCAGTATGTCCGTAACAATGCTGTACACATTTTATTTTTGGTTAAAACTTTTTTTTTTTTTTAAGAAAAAAAGCCTACAAGAAATCCCAAAGGATAGTTAACAATTGCTTTAGCATGCAATCACATTGCACACTATATGGCTCTGTGGGTGTTCTTGCCTGTCTGAAATGGGGCCCCAGCAATACTCTTTGCATGACATAATTATAAATGAAAATACATCTGTGCTGAGCATAAGCATTTCAGCCCGTGCAATTGATCCTGCATTATGTCTTCTTCAGCTGAGAAGTCATGGTTTGTTAAAAATACAATATATTTTCTGCTAAAAAATTCATTGCCTGTACAACTGATTTTCTATCTTGTAAAACCAGCTCTTGGTTTTCTCATGAATTCACTTAGTACCATGGACACAGAATGGGAAAAAGAGAACATGACAGAGTTATTACATAAACTCATTGGCTGTGGCAACAGACCAGAAGGAAATATAAACACAGAGCCTGTTGTTTCTGTATTAATACTGCAAAGCTGGCAAGTAGCACTTGTCTTTTTTATTTTATTTTATTTTATTTTCTCTGTTTGTATCCTTGAATGGTCTGGATCATCCACACTTTGTGGAAAACAACCACCTCTGAATCCAGGAACCTTCTCCTCTATTGACAAATATTATCGATTCTTTAGAATTTCTTTTGCTGGGCTGACAGCTGTTCTCAGCTACTCTCATTTGTGATGATGACATAGCACTGGCTCAAGTGTTTAACCAGGCCTCACATTTTCCCCCTCTTCTGGAAACAAAGAAAGGTTCCTGTCATTCGATATCTTTGAAGCAAAAGCAGGAGCTTCAAAGGGGACCCAGGAGAGTCACAGGGAACACGATTCCCCAGCTGCTTTCTGAATGATGCAGTTCATGTAAACTCATTCCAAAACCACTGGCATCTTTGGCAAAAGGCCCCAGGAAATCTGTATCTGGAGGTGGCATGCCTTAAAGCAGTTGGGTTTCTTCGTTTGTTTGTTTGTTTTCTAGTCTGTTTGCTGGGAGTATGTGTTTTACAGCGATTCCACCACTATGCCTTTGCATTGTCAAATATATCCATGGGGACAATGATGTGCCCAAACGCAGGCAGATGCCTCTTTACACAGGACATTCTGCATTATTCAGCGTGTCTAGTGATCAACTTCTGATGGGAAGATTCTGAAATGTACCACTTTCTTTGTTGCCAAGCTCCACTTTTGCTAAGTCGAACAGTAAAGGTAACAGTTTTAGGGGCTTCTTTAATTAAGAACCATTTTCCTATGAGTTCCCATTCTTTTTCCAAACTAGTTTTTCCGCATGAATCTCATGGTAAGATGCCTTTATTCCTACAAGGAATTTCATTCATTACCTGGTGAAGCCCCTTCTAGTTTAAATGGATAAAGAAATGACTTTTCTTTTGACCCTTTCAGCCAACCATAAGCAGGATGCAACAGCAGGTTTTTGTTTTTTTAATTTAATTTGATTAAAACTTGTGATCTTTGTGCAAGCACGGGAGAGCAGTATTTTAGATTTTGGCTTTTACTATGACCTCTGCGGTGAGCCCTGCCCCTATGCCTTCTGGCTCTCTCTCCACCTCTACCTCAAATAAAAAGGGACACTACGCTGTTGGCACCCAGGGTGCTCGACCTTGCTTCAGAGAATGTTGCAGAATGCTCAGGCTGCCAAATTCCCGATGATCAGAGAGGTCTTGCTGAAGACCAGTTTAAACTGGAAAGCACATAAGCCTCATTGGGCTATTTCAAAGTTCATGCAGCTTTAGCGCTAATCCTCTTAACATATTAGGCCAAGTGGACTCACATACCACAATGGCAGTGGCATAAAGGGCTCTCCAACTTTTATTTACATTTCTCTGCACGGCAGAGTACAAGTCAATTCATTCCCCTCTCGAGATGCCTTCCTCACCATCACGTCCTGCCCCACGATGATTCAAATTGTTTGAAGGCCAAAATGCTTAGGCTAACATATTAAAAGATTTTACGTAGCACTGCTTTCTCAAAGCCACGAAACACTTGCAGTGTGTTAGCTTTAGTGATGCCTTTCCCCAACCCCCAACCCCCCTCCTTCTGCAAAGGATAACATCTTGGCTGCAGACAAGGTAAGCATTTCCAGTATGAATGTTTAATGAAGATGAAGTCAGCATGCAGCATGCTGTTTATTTTGCCTTCTAATAAGCCCGTGCTCAGCAATAGTCTTACGACTGCTGCGACTTCTTGCAACAATTTTTCAGCGTCTTCTGTACTCAGAGGAAATTTCTTTCAACATTACTCTTCTTATGATAAATTAATTACATAAAGCATGAAGGATTCAAGGCTGGGAAGAAATGATGAGCTAACAATAACCTTTAAGAACTTTTTTTTTTCTTTTTTCAACCTCCAAATACCATATGCATGTTCACCTATGACAGAAACCAAGCAAGGAAAAGTGAGCTCTGAGGTTATCTGAATAGACTTCAGATTCCAAATGGATCTCACATGTCGTGGGCACTACCAGAAAATAAAACCATCCTGGTGGAATAAAAATACATGTGTGAGTAAAGAGTTAGAAACCAAAAATATAAGAACCATTGAAAGTCTAGAAATACCAGAAAAGAGAAAGAGGCATCAAAGGGGAGTGAGTATAGGGCAGAGTGAGAAGCTTATATTCCAGGCCTGGCTCCGTTGCAAACTGGCTGTGTGACCTTTGGCAAGTCCTTTTGCCCCTCTGCTGAAATGTGCTTTCTTATAAAATGTCCAGGTGTAACTAATATGACCCAAAGTTGCCTTTTAGTTTAAAAACTCTGGATGCTCAGGTTGATAAGAAGTCATTGAGGACTTTTATCCCAGCCACTATATTAGGTGCATTCCACATATTTTTACAGAGCCCTTAAAATTACCTAAAAAGGTAGGCATTATTATTTCCATTTTAGAGTTGTGATATTGAACCTGGAGAATTATCTGTCCAAAGTCACACGGTTTGTGAATGGCAGAGCTGGGATTCACACTCAGGTTTATCTAATTTCAAAGCCCTTTCTCCATTAACTATATGCTATGTGGCACCCTCACAGCTGGCAAAAACTCTAGTGAGTTTTGAAAAATGTGGGAAACTAGTTCCTCTCCTCTTTCCCTCAGGTGTCACAAAGAATACTTGCTTTGTATGTCAAAGCAGATTGATGCTGGAGAAATAGAGAAATAAAGTCTACATTTGTTCAGATTCAGAAGACAGCTTCTGGTAGAAAGGGAAGAGCCCAGGAATGCATGGCGAATGCTGGAGTTACGTTTCATTGTATTAAAGAACCTGTCCATTTTTAGACCAAAGGGAAAATAGAAACAAGATTAAGTGGAAAGTCAATCATTTTAAAACAAATTTAATATCTCATCAAAAGAATGAAAGATTCCATATGTCACTGGAAAATCTTCCAGGCTCAAGTAGGCACCCCCCAAATACCTGATGTGTAAGAGACTTGGTGTTTGTGTTAAAAAAAAAATAAAAGTGACAATTACAAAGTTGAGAATGCATTGCTCTGTATGTTCAGTCATGAGCCCTGATGCCTCTGCTACTCATAATACTTCTATACGGTGGACAGATGGAATAATTGGTATGTTTCTATCTAGAGGTAGAAACACTGGTGTAAATAGATCCCAGTCCTGGAGGACCATCTGACCTATGTTGGAAATGATGCAATGGAAAGATCCTTGGCCTTGGAATCAGATGAGCACCTGTCACAGCTCTACAGTGTGTGATGGTGGGGAGGTGGGCAGGTATTTAGCCTCCCTGTATCCTGGTTTTCTATTTTATAGACATGACTAGTAATACCTAAGTCAAAGTTGAAGATCAAGTGTGATAGAGTCTACACAGGCACTTAACGCAGTTAGTGGCACATGGTAGAAACTGAGAAATGTAATCTGTCTTTATCACCCCTTAATGTTTTACTCAAATCCCTCATTTCATAGTTGAATTCAATTTGTCCTATGAGGTCAGTGGCAGCAGAAGAGCCATTTATCATCTCTGTCACGATGATCTTTCAAATATCTATGGAATTACAATGTTCACTTGAGCCCCAGGCATACCCTCCCCAATCCAAAGCATTTTATCGATTCTCATACATCTTATTTTAACTTTTGGACATTTTTCTCTGACTCCTAACATATCACTGGTTTTTGGATTTAATATATTTGTGTGTATTATAAATATTAACTATAAACACTGTACAAATAAAGTAATTAAGAGCATTGACTATGGGGTTAGATTGCTAAATTCAAATCCCATATTCAACATTTATAATTTCTTTGATCAGGAGAGATATATTTAACCTTCTATGACTTATTTTTTTCTTGTTTGTAAAATTAGGGCAACAATAGTACCTAGCTCATTATTGTAAAATAGCACTCAATAAGTGCTAGCTATCGTTATTGTTGTTATTTTATCATATTTAAGAACGACAGCTTTTCCGCCCCAGAGTTTCACAAGTATCTGAACATTCTGTGCATTTAGCACATATTCTTTCAATTCACCTCCACAACTTTATTTGCATATACGTATATCTGTGCAACTTATATCAGTTATTTTGTATGTGGTTTAAAATATAAAAGATTTTGTATGTGGTTTAAAATTGCACACTTTTATTATACCATACATTCTTTTCTGTTTACCTTTTATTTATCATTATGTTTCTGAGACTTGTTTTACATATATCAGTGGACCTATATAACTTCTTTCTGAGTTCTATATTCCTTCATAGGGATGTAACTTCTTTTTATATTCTCCCTTTGATGTCCATTTAGGTTGCTGTAACCTTTTGCTTTTCCCACCATAGCTGTGATGAACATCTTTAAATATATTCCTTTGTGTACCTATGTGAAGATTTCTCAGGGATGTATACTTAGAAACAGGATGACCTAGTTAAAAGATGTAAGTGGTCCCAATTTTGTTCAACACTGAAAAATTGAGCATCTCTTCAAATGGTCTTTTGCTATCTCAGGTTAAACTTATTAGAGATTTCTTGTCATATAATTTGCTTGTTTTTTCATTTGGAGTTGTAGGAATTCCTTATGTATCTCAAACATGAATCCTTTGTCAGTTGTACACATTGGGAAGCAGTGCAGTGCTGCCATTACTAGAGCAAGGTTGAGCCAGACTGGCTTGGTTCAAACACTGGCTCCCCTACTTATTAGCTTTGTGACCCTGTGCAAATTCCTTGACCCCTCCAAGGTTCAGTTTCCTCATCTATATGATGGGGTCATAACAGTGGCCTTCCTCACAGATAACTGCAGGACTGAATGAGTCAATGCATGTAAAACCACTTAGGATGGCGCCCAGAGGAAGGCTCAGTTGTTCTTAAGACACACTTATTTTGTGATTCAGCTTCAATTGTTTTACCCTACCCTTTGTTCTTTGGGTCAGGGACCATGTATGTCTCAGTAATCTTTTGTTTCCAAGTGCTTAATAAAGTGCCTGGCCTATGTGGGAGGTGTTTGTGAAATGTTTACAGGATGAATGGATGCATACTTCCGGTATCTCGTCGCCTCATCACTGAAGTCCCCTTTTGCTTCCTTCAGGGAGAGTTGTGTGTCGCCTGCAGGACAGGCTACTTCCTCCCACTATCTCTGTGATTAAATCAATGAAGGGGCTCCCTCTAGGGCTTCTGAGACACAATTCCTATACATTTTAAATTTACCTTCAACAGAACTAACTGCTTTCCACATTTTATGCTGTCTGCAACCCTGAAATATTTATTCCAAGTTCCATAATGTGGGTCAGTAATGGAAGCTTAGATGTCCCTGTGGTGTAGGAATAGAAAGACACCACTGAACTCTTGATAAAAATTCTCTGAGTGAGGCCCAAAGAGACCTGTCTAGAGCCCAGAATGAATTGTGGATGGATTTAAGATCAGACACCCCATCCCCCACTTATAGGTCATTGTTCTTGGGATTTTTTTGTACCTTACAATTTCAGAAATATTCAGATTATCTCAAGAAGTAACCTTGAGTTTCAAAAGTCTCTGAATTCATATAAGAAAAATGTGTTTCCAAATATGGCAGTTTCCTTAACTTGGCATGGAGCTTCAATTTTGATAATCAATAAAAAGTATATCATAGAAGAAAAGGTAAATGATTAAAAAGGATGAAATTGTGCAATATAGAAGGGCTGAGAAACTGGAAGGAGGAATGAAAATGAGCAGGCAAAAGAGAAATGACATTGCATGATAATTAAGATCGTTTCTACAATATTTCAAAATCTAGTAGCATCTTTGTTTCATAATCCATATACTGAATAGCATGGGCTAAATGGAAAAAGAAAGTAATATAAGTAATGTAATGTAAAGGTTTGTGCTGCATTTTCTCTAAAGATTGCCAAAGTAATAAAAAAGATATATAGTGACATATTTGCTATAATTGTTAATGTGTAAATGAAAATTTATAATCATGTTAATAGTTCATATTTAGGATTTTCACAAGTAAGGTTTTATTTATTCTACCCAGTCTATTAGGTATAAGATTTTCCATGGAGCTGATTCATAGGGAACAGGGATTGATATAAGTTTCCTATGTTTTAATGTAATCTGTCAATACCTTTTGCTTCTTAGTGACTCTATCTTTAACCAAATTGTCTTAATGAATTTTGCCTGGCAATTTTTTAGCTAATGATTGGGAATTAGAAGTTAGCAACTAAAGAATTTCCTGCTTTGTTTCCATTCCTTATCTAATTTCTTCTGGCTCTCCTAGGTAAATCACATTCATAAAGTCTGGGTGTGACACTTGGATTGAATAACCAAATTGTGATTTTTCTGCCTGCATTCACCCACTCATTTAGCCAACAATTATTAAATACCAAGTGTAGGTAGGACGGTTGCTCTGTGTTGGACGTGCAAAGACAAATGAAATGTGGTTCTTGTTTATAAGGAACTGACAATGAGTGGGAGATAGTAAAACTGTTGCCATATTGTGAGTTAAGTGTTCTGGCAGCTGTGGAAGAAGATCTGAGAGACCTCTCACCCATCCTGAGAAGGGGGAAGGAGCAGACTGAGTTTCCAAGGATGAGTAGGCATTAGTCATTGGAGAGATGAGCTAAGAGCATTCTAGGTCTGGGGAGCCACGTAAACAATGACTCAGAAGTATGAAACTCCAGGTCTGGTTTGAGGAAATTACAAATCACTCCATATTTACAGAAGGAGGAACCTGGAGATAAAATGACATCAGGAGAGTTAGGAACAGACTAGGATGGAAGGGGTATTATTTGCCATACTCCATTGTCTGGACTCAGTCCTGGAGACAACAGGGGACCACCCAGGGGCTCTATGCAAGGGAGTAACGTGGCGCCAGGGTGGAGAAGATTTCACAGGGCATGCCCGCAGAGGGGAGAGCAGATGGGCAGCAACATGGGATACAATGGGCAGAAGTAAGAAATAGTGTGTGAGGGGCAGTGGCTGTGGAGACGGTTGATTGACAAGAATGATAGGAGGTAGGGCTCTCTGATTTTAAAGAAAGAGGAACTGATGGTAAAGATAAAATGAGGGTAAGGATGAAGGAGGAGTAATTGCCTGGTTGAGACTTTAGGTGGTGTCATTCTCATAACAAAATTTTTTTTTAGAAGGAAGAAGTTATTTGGGAGAAGCAGAAAGGTGAATTCCATTAGGAAAATTCCAAATGTCGGTTACAAGTGTTATCTCTCTCATCCAGGTACACTTAGCAGGTAGGTATCATAGATATACATCTGGACAATCTGATACTACAGTGTGGTTGTGATTAAAGGCTCAGAGAAGTAATACTAGAACTTACATCTTGTCCAATGAGTGGGAAGTAAAATTGATCTCTTCTAAAGGGTCCCCTTTCCTGTCCTTAATATGTCCAGGAATCCCCATGTTCTTAGTTAGTTACTAGAGCCCAGGTTTAAGTATGAGTGGACAGGAGGGGAAGCCCCTCCCTACCTTCACCTGGATCACTGAGATAAACTGTAACTCAGGTGGAGACCTTTCTCTGCAGCTTGGAAACCACAGCAACAGGCCTGCCATTGACACGTGTTAATTAGGGTGGACCTGCCAATTCTCAGGACATCAGCTAGTAGCTAGTGACATGCCTGTCCAAAGGCAGATCTTAGAGTGGGGGTGGGAGATTCCATGTGCTTCCACTGCCTTAGACAGTACTTTTAGTGTTGTGATTAGTCAAGAAAGTGCTATGACAAAAACTGGGCTAATTTCGTTTAGCAACTTAACAACTCTTCAACACATCCTGTTTGTTCCTACTTTCTGCAAAGAACTCTCTCGGATGAGTGAGTCATTGTCTATGTCGAAGAGGGGTTTTCTCCAGTTTTATATTTATGGTGAGGATACATGGGCTATCGTGAAAAAATTGTGTATCCATGGGGTGAGACTTGAGTCTGAAATGCTGTGACCAAGTCGCCTGCTCCTAGGCCCTCTATTCTGGGTGCTACCACAGGTGCCAGAGCAAACTTCCTACCCCAGGGCTATAGATGCTCTGAGGGAGGATAACCTCATACTCCAGAAGATGCTCAGTCAAGAGTAGCTCATGACACACAGGCCGGACCTGCTGAGATTATGATACATTCAATCTGTTCCTACAGCTTGAGGATACAATGTGACGCCACTGACTTCCTTCCCGGAATGCTGGGTTGGTGCAAGTTCTGGGAGCCAGAACATCATCCACACTCTCTTCCCTGCTGATTAAGGCACTGGCCACCTGTTCTTCCACCCCAATGGCAATATTATTCCAGGAGAGTTGTGTCTCTTTTCTGACGTAGGTCCTGGATTTAAGCCACCCTGGCACACTTTCCAGCTTCTGGTATTGCAAGGTATGGGTCAGGGGTCTCAGTCTTTTCCCCACTAGAAAAACCCATGTGCTTCTTCTGCAAATGGAGCAATCCCTTCTTTGAGCTCTGTGTACCAAAGTGAACAGGGGTTTGTTAAACTGCACAGATATAGATAAAACCATTCAAAAAGGTGCTGTTACACACCTCTGCCACTTGCCTTATGCTTATATAAGTAAGTGAGGCTCTCTGGTCATCTTTACCACGATGGGGAAAATGTTTCTTCAGCATCTAGCTCTTTCTCCTTCTAGGCATACGAAAGTTTGGTCATTTTTACTGCTGACTACTGAGCACTGAATTACATAGATGTGGGACTCAGGAGGAAGGTGGGAACAGAACATAGAAATATTGAGCGAAGACACTCACAGCAAGATTGCAGGGAAAGAAACTATGAAGAGTGAACTGATATTTAGGAAGCAACCGAACAGAAGTATGAGGAAAGAGAGAGCAAAGAATCTGGGAAAGGATAAGTCAGACAGGAAAAAGTTGTGCCAATAGGAAGAGATTTTAAAAAAAGGAGTGGCCTAGACTGAGTGTCAAATGCCCAAAAGTTTAAATGAGACAAGGGCTAAATAGTGTTTTCTTTGATATCTAGTCTCAGAAAGCAAAATGGAACTTTGCAGTTTTGTTCACTGCAGATCTCCATTTGCAATGGGCCAAAATAAAGGTGTATGTGTGAAATTATATATATATATGTAATATATATAATTATATATATATCATGATATTTATCTATATACCTATATATTGATCTCTGTCCTTAGTTCCTGACATAGAGCTCCTAAAACCTTGGTAAATGTGGGCACTCAGATAATCTTTTCTTCTGACGTTTGGTCTCTGACTCTGGTTCCAGACACAGAACTCCTAATACTTTTCTAATTTTTTGGATAATGGGAACATCCGTTATTCCAAGGAGGCAACTCTTGGTGGGCTCCTGGATAGCCTCAGGATGGGAGTTGGTTGCCAGGGAAATCAGCCACCTGATTAGAGGGTGGAAACTTTTGGCCCATCCCCCAACCCTTTGGAGGGAAGAGGGACTAAAGGTTGAATTGATACCAATGGCCAATGATACAATCAATCGTGTTTATGTTAATGAAACCTCCATAAAAACCCAAAAGTACAGGGTTCAGAGAACTTCCAGATTGTGGAACACAGGAAGGTGCCAGAGAGGACACAGAAGCTCTGCACCCTCTTCCCTCATTTCTTGTCCTCTGCATCTCTTCCATCTGGCTAGTCATCTGTGTACTTTATCATATTCTTTATTAATGTAATAAACTGATAAACAGAAGTCAATGTTTCCCTGAGTTCTATGAGCCTTCAGAGAAAATTAATCAAACCCAAGGAGGGGGTCGTGGGAATCTGGAGTTATAGTTCATCATCAGACACCTAGATGAGAAGCTATACTTGCCATGGTGGCTGAAATGAGGGCAATCTTGTGGGGCTGAGCCCTTAACCTGCGGGATCTGACTCTAATTCCAGGTAGATAGTGTCAGACTGCATTGCATTATAAGATACCCAGTTGGTGTCTGCTGGAGGATTGCTTGGTGTGTGGGGGGAAATAAACCCTACATATCTAGTGCCAGAAGTGTTCTCTGTTGAATGTTGCATTGAGTATGAGAGTAAGAAAAATTGTTTGTTTTTTTTTTTCTATTTCTTATACTATGTCAGAGGAAAACCTGAAGGGGTCCACCGAAACATTCTGCAGGAGAATCCAGGTGGGCTGTGGCTAATTCTGAGCTGGCTGATACTGGTCAAGAGATGAGGTGAGAAGTGCCTTGAGACAAGGTTAAGGCATATTCCTAGAAAAAAAGAGGAAGGAGAAAAAGGAGAGAGGATAATCCCCCAAAATGTGGAGGGACAAATGGTCAGGGACTACTTGGAAAGGACTGAAAATAAATAACAAGCCATGACATAAATAATTCAATCAACCTCAACACCTTAACTGGCTGGATGTTTTTTTTAAACATCAAATTGAATAAATTCACTGTGATGCATCATTAAGACACACATTTAACCAACCACAATTATTCTAAATAAAAATGAGCCCATCTCTATGGTTTTATTGTTCTCAATTATTTAAGGCTTTATATTTATGTTGCCAAAACAAGCAGTTAATTTAGTTAATTTAGTCAACCAGCCGGTCATTTCAGGAGGAAAACAAAGCTTTCAGATGAGTAATATTTCCGAATGCATGTCCCAAGCCCCAGCTGTTTGGCTGGACTTTCTACTTTTTTATTTGCAATATTGGCATGAACAGATGTAGCTCTTCAGGCCTGGAATGGAAATGGGAAAAGGGCTGTTACAACGTGAACAGTAGTTGAGGATTATAGCAAAAAAGTTAATCCTACAATATCTTCTGCCGATACAGTGACAACTTCTAAAGAGCTTATGCTTCATTGTATGATTTCACATAAAATCATGGTGACAAACAAGATGCAGGTATGAGCATTGCTTAACTTTTAAAGAAGTAGAATCCAGAGTCTCCAGAAGTTACAGGTTTAGAGCAATTCCATGCAACACATCATGGGAAAGACCATAAACAAAGCTTGTGTTTTTCAAAACTCTACTTGTGGGCTTCCATCCATTCTGTGGCATGATCACCATGTCATAGGAAGCAAACTTCCTCTGGTGGCATGCATCCAGGATGTGTTGGAGATGATAATGACAATGAAGATAATGATCATCATCTGGAATGAACAAATACTAAGTAGCAAGGGAGACCAATGTGAGATAAGTGTTTCTGGAATTTTATTGTTAGTGATAATGGTGGAAGTGGAAAAGTTATGGGACCATCTAAAGAGGAAGGGAGATGTTAGAGTGCAGGCCCATCACCATTTCAGTTTAGTTAAGCTTAGATTTTTATGACACTGAAATAAATGGGAGAGTGTTTTAAAATTAGCTCTTAACGAAAAAGAAACATAAAGACAAGGAAGTGATGACAATTTTGACATAAAGCAATTGATGAAACTCCAAGTGGGAAATACCCATTAAAACTGAGCATCTAGTCTAATAGCTGGCAGATGTGAGAGCTCTTTACCCCCAGGTCATAGGGGAATGAATTAATGAATTTGACAGCAATTCTTTTTCTAACAGTCACATAAGAAAACTTGAGGCAGTGCCAGAGGAATAAAGTGCCCACGATAAGCAATTCTCTTTGCATCTAACTAGTGGCAGTGTAAACTGTGGGGTTTTATAATGTTGGCCTGCAGACCTCAGTGGTATGCTTTCTACTACCATCCACCAAATGATACACAGAGGGCAACTTTGGTTATGGATTTTCTGTCTATTACACATCATCTTCCTTTTCTATCACAGTTGACATTTTTTTCTTTCCTAGCCTATTTCAGAACTAAGACCACTCTGAATTGGAATTATTAACTTTCTACTTTAAGCATAGCATAACCTGATCCAAATATAACCCATTGCCAACTAGAGCTTTTTATTAAATTCTGGTTCACTGTAAAATGTTTAATTGATTGTATGACTTTGGGCAAGTGACAAAGGTTCTGGGTCTAAATTTCCTAGTTGGGGAATTAGGTTCTTTACAGACTTAAAATCATATGATTTCTTATCCGTTTCAACTAGGCAGTGAATCACTACACAGATTAATATGAAATGTTAGAAATCCTTCAAGAAATCAAGGCAGAAGTGACCATAGGGACATTTTTGAGGTCAAGGGGAATCTGTAAGAACTCAATGTTGTGGGGCTCAGCAAGGCATGGAGAAGCAGGGTAGGATGTCTCTTCCAGAGATGCTCAGTTCAGAGCATTAACTGAGATGGAGTCACCTGCATCCTCACTAGTTGGGCGTGAGCCCAAGAGACAGATTCTTATCCTGGATCAATATTCCAAAAATGCATTTCACAGAACATGAGTTGCAGAGATTTTTACTTGAAATTACATTAAAGAAGATTCTATAGTAATATCAATTTGGGGACATGCTGAGTTATATAAAATCAGACAGAATTCTTCCCAAGAGAGGTTTTCAGAGTCCCTGATGGACTAATACACATTGTGAAACTCCGCGAGGGGGACTTCCCAGTCTTTAGTAATTTCCAAAACTCATCTGAACATGAAATACTTTTTTTTTCTTTTGTGACAATTCTCAAAGCTTCAATTTTCTGATAAACACATTTCTGGAAACATTCTTGGTAGAGATCCATGGCACATTCAACTCTACTCTTTGGGGTGGGGGTGGGAGTGGGGTCCAAGGGATCTCTTTGATGTAAAATCCCAGCTCTCATATTAATTAGGCCTGTTTATTAACAATCCCTGAATTTACAGATAACTCTTGAGGCAAAACCAGCTTCCAAAACTCTTAAGTTGAGCTTCAACCTGTTTTTATTTATTTTTTAGTTTTTCTTTGCTTGATCTTCCTTCCTGATCAAAAGTTACTATAATTTTGGCTGAAAGAAAATTTTAAAAATGTGTCACCTGTTTATGTATTTCCCTTCTAGGTATTACTAATACATATTTGTTTATTTTTGTTTATTCATACAGGATTTGAGAAAATATTTGATCATCAATCTCTTTATTATAAAATTGATGAACTTTACAACTCGAGTTTATTGAGTGGCAGCAAAAGCCTCCATTGATTTATCTGGTTACATTAATCACATTAAAAATCCATTACCCCACATGTAATTCATAATGTAACAAGTTTCGAATTTCTAGTCATTCCAAACTAGGATCAAATTTGAAAACTGACCAAAAGATGCAGAGTGTTTATTTATAATTTTTAAGCATTTTTGAATGAGACAAAACTCATTCTGAAGATAGATAAATCATATGAAAATCTGGAGATCTTCAGGTATTTCTATATCTTCCACTTTAACATAAAAAAGATTTCACGGTGATACACATTTGGGAAAAATAAAAGAAAGCAGAATCCCTGCGGGATGGATTCTACTATCACGACACAGACTGTCTTGCTCAGCCATTAAGCAGAAAAGAGTCACTTATACATCCAAGAGGAATTGAATGCTTTTTTTCACCTGCAAATGCCCAAGGGAAAAAAATCTGTAGATAGAAAAATGGCAAAGTGATTTTATCAAGGTGCTGTACATATTATGCATTTGACAAGTACCTCTCATTATTTTTCAAATGTATTCAGTTTGATGGGTCCCTTAGTAAGGTTTTGCTCAGCTTTTCCCCATTCATTTTGAAAGTCTCATATAGGCCCTGTGAAATCCTAGCTGACTGAGATCCATTTAATCTTAGCTTATCAGAATAGTGTTAGGTGAGAGCTATTTGGTACCCAAGCAAATAGAATGTTCTTTACCTAAAAAAAAACACTGGAACAAAGGACAAAAGTTCAAGGGCAGATTTTATTTATTGGTATTGCAGCAGCTCATCACACAGTACCAACACTATATTGATCCTTACAGTTGTAGAACCACCTATACAAAATAGTTTTCCTTAATAAAATAAAAGAATCATTGGGGAGCAGAGAGTACGACATAATTGGCTTAACATTTGAGTCCAGAGTAAGAGAGTAATGAATTGGAATTAGAAAGTGAAGACTCAATTTCTCTATCACCTTAGAAAAATATTTAAATTTTTAATTCAGCAATCCTTACACTTTTGAATCTCAGGATCCCTTGCATTCTCAAAAATTCTCAGGGCCCCAGAGAGCTTTTGTTTAGGTGGCTTATATGTATCAATATTTACACTGTTAAAAATGAAAACGGAGTCGTTTTAAAAATGCAACAATGCGCAAGAACGTATTTTGCTAGCCAGCAGAGGGCTGACATCATGAAGTGTCATGTAACTTCTGAAAAATTCACTGTGCACTAGTAAGAGAATGAGAACAAAACTGGGAAAAAAATGTGTTAATATTATTAAAATAGTTTTGCTTTATGGACCCCCAGAAAGGGACTCACAGATCTCCAAAACACACTCCAGAAGGGCTGTATTAATTCATCAATTTAATAAATATTAACAAATGACTAGTTTGTACAGGGTACAGAGAGAGACACTATAGATGTGTGGTTAGCAAGGCAAAGCCCTTGACTATTTAATGCCTTTATTGCTCAAACAGAATGCAGTCTGTAAGCTTCGAAATAAGCTTCTCGAAGGAGAGGTCATTTTTTTTTTTTTTTAGTTATAGTGTGGTCTCAAAGTGCAGTGGACATACAAAGTAAATGTTAAAAAAAATACTTGCATAATAAATAGGTCAGAGGCTTATCTGAACCACTAAAATGTCTTTATTCCTGAATCTGTGATTATACGCTGCGTCTGAAAACATTCAAAGTTACACCATATTAAAGATGTAAATCATGGCTCCCTAACTCTCACTGCATTCCCCAAATCAAGTAGAGTGAAAAGAAAATTAGAATAGAAAAACTCAAATCAAATGACATGACCAAAGGTATAAAAATATAAATTAATTGTTATTCAATGGTGCAGCATCATTTTCTGAAGATTTTTGAGTTCTAAATATTCATGTTAAAAAGTAATAGATATACTCTTGACAGCTAGACCTGGATTCAAATGCAGACAGGGCTGAGTCCAAGCTGTGGAACTTTGTGGAAAAGTTATACATCTCTGAGCATGTTTCTTCCTCTTTAAAACAAAAAGAAAAAAAGAAAAAATGAGATTATTATGAAAGCCAAATTATATAATGGATATGAATAAAATTTGGAACTTTTAAAAGATAATAAAAAATATTATAATTGCTAGTTTGAATCCTCACAGTAATTGATGTAAGAAATTATTTGTAATTATAGAGATAAAATACAATAGAAAATAACTCCAAAGATGTAGAGAAGACAATAACTTGGATCCCCAATTTCTTGATGAATTTAAGAGAAGATTGGAGAGGTATAATCAGAAGGACCTCCTGTGACAATGACAAGAAGAGGCCAAGGGTAACATAGAAAATACGTGTCTCAGAGAGGAAGATATTTTTGTTTTGTTTTGTTTTGTTTTGTTTTGGTTGTTTTGCAGGAGGGCAGAGGGGAAATGATTTTTAAAAAGCAATTTATAGGCCTAAGAGATCCAAGACCATTTTATGCACTATGATTTATTGTCTATAATAGATGAGAAGTCTTCTTTCAACTTTCATAGTTTCTTGGTAATTCTGATAGTTACTCTAGAAATTTTCTAGGTAACTACACCCACACACCTGTTTCTGGAACCAGAAAAATGTGAAGAACAGAATGATTAGAATCTCATTGGTTTTAAGTAAAAGAAAATGATTATATTTTCATTAGAAATATTCTCATAATATTTTATCATGAAAATTATATTTTTTACTTTCTAAGGTACATTACACAATCAAATATCTAAGGCACATTAGTTTTTAAACAGCCTGATTGAGATATACTTCACATCAAGACACATTAATTCGATGAAAAAGAAAATAATAGAGTTACTACACATGACTTTAATTCTAAAAACAGCCATTACCAAAGAGGCGTATAGAAGAATTGATTTTAGGAATTACTTTATGGTTTATATTAACTTATTCTTTCATTTTTAAGCAAACTAAATCTCTGGAAAAGACCTCTAATCATTATTGCAAATAATCAACTTGAAACTAACTGTGGCATGGATGAAACTACAGTCAGAAATGAAGAAAAAGATGTGCTGAGATAAATAATTTAAGACCAACGTAAAATGTAAGCCAAACTACCTGGATTAATTATTACATTTAAAGCCAGTGGAGAAAAGGAGTTGGTGAGTATACCTTTCATCCTGGGTGCAGTTTTCAGGAATGCATATGATTATGGCAGTCTATACCCAAGAGCTGAATATTTGGATACTTATCAAAACTCAAAGTTGCTTGTGAATTGATTTTGCCTCCTTAAACTCAATTCTTCTATTGATACTGAATAAAAATCTTTCCCCAGTTCAACAGATTACTATGCAGGCACCACATTTTGAATTTGCTATGTAGTATTGAAGCTGGAAAACCACAGTCTGTCATGCTGGGAGGAGTTTAGTAGTTAATGAAGGAGTAGGATCCTATTGTGCCAACATGTCGAAAAGCAGGATAAATAATGACGATTAGGTGAATGAACTGTGCCTACATATACCTAAACATCTTGGTATCTGATTCTGAGTTAAATTTGCTCTTGTTTGTTTTGATGGTGGTGCCACATTGATTCATTATTTTTGTGTGAGTGACAAAAAGGCAACAGGCTTGCGTATTTAAGCAAGGCAGAAAAATGATTTATTAGACTTCTATCATTAACCTGTACTAAGTTACTGAATCCATATGATTGTAGATAACTGCTATTGTATTCTTGTCAAGTAAAAATTACTTATGACTTGACTAGAATCCTGTGATAAACATGGACATTTAACCCATAAATTAAAAAAATTTTGGTGAATTGGGAAAATTTATTGAAAATCACATCCAACAAAACTAAAACATAAAGAAGTTAAAAACCTGACTAGTCTTATGTCTATTAAAGAAATCAAATCCATAATGAAAATCTCCAGGCCCAGAGGACATAAATAGTTAATCTTTTCAAATATTTAAAGAATAAATAATGACAAACTTACATAAGTCCTCCAGAGAATAAAAAATAGTATATACTCCTCAATTCATTTTGTGAGGTTAGCATAACATTGATACCAACAAAAATTACATAATAATTTTTCTTATGAACATAGATGTGAAAATTCTAAGCAAAATCTTAGTAAACTGATTGAATCTGGTAGATACAAAAATGATAATAAAGTTGGTTAACTCTAAGAATACAAGTTTGGGATGATATTGCAAAATTAATTATAGTAATTCACCATTAACTGAATGAAGAAGAAAAATCATATGACTAATTAGATTCAGAAAAGGCCTTTAATAAAAACCTCATGCTTGTTTATCATTAAAACTCTTACAAAATCAGCAGTAAAGAAATAGAATTTCTCTAATCTGATGAAGAATAATCACAAAAATCCTACTATAGCCGTCATCAAACTTGACAATAAAATATTGAAAGATTTCCCTTGAGTTCAAGGACAAAACAAGATTGCCACTATAACCACTTCCATTCAATAAATTGAATTCAGTGCAATAAAGCAAAAAATAAAATAAAATAAAAATACATTGTATAAGAATTGAAAAAGAAAACTTAAAACCCATAGTTGCTTATGTATAAAATCTAAAATATTCTATAGATAAACTATTACAATTAATAAGTAAATTTAACAAGGTCATTATATACAAGTTCCATAATATCTCTATACAATGCAATAAACTAAAAATGAAATAGAAAAACATAATGTTTACAATAGCATCAAAAATATTAAATGCTGAAGAGTAAATCAACAGAATATATTTTTCTAAATTTCTTTAGACAGAAATAAAGTATAATCTTAATAAATATATTGAATGACTCAGTGTAGTAAAGATATTAATTTCCCCCTCATTATCATTAAATAAAATATAACCCTAATTGAGATTCTAGAAGGCATTTTTAAAAAATAGACTCTCTAGTTTTAAAAAATATATATGAAAATTAAAAGAGCACAAAATAATGAGAGGGCTAAAGAAGAATAATTTTGGAAGACTTATGCTACTAAATCTGAAGACTTTCCATAAAGTAATCACAATTAAAACAATATGAAATTTGTTCAAGGATAAACAACTAGACCAGAAAAATAGAATAGAGTTCAGAAATAGACTCAGTGTAGTAGGCAAACGCTGATCTTTTAAATAAATGGTTATAATACATGTTTGGTAGAAAATATTAAATCCTAACTCATACCAACTAAAAAAGCCAGTTCCATGAAAGTTAAAAAACAAAGTTTCAATCTCATTAGAGTCATCTAAGACATAAGACTAAAACCATTAAGGCAATACAAAATACTGTACTGGGGAGAATTTGGCCCTCTCTTATATTACTAGCTGGGGTAGTATAAATTTATACTACAACTTTGGAAAACTATTTTCTTAGTATTGGCTATGCATACCTTATTATCATTATTTTATTCTGTAGTAAGCTTTTAGAATAGTTATCAACTAGGTTGGCATTTATTATTTTCTTTCCTAGATGCTTTATGATTTTATTGCTCTCTGAATGGAATCTTTTATTCTTCTGAGCTTTCTAATTACTGTACTATAGGAAAACTTGATTTTTTCATGTTGATCGTATTTCTTGCCATGTGTATTTTTCAGTTGTGTATTTAAGTAAAAACTCTTCGCATCTACATTAGTGTCAGTTTTATCTCTTCCTTTCATATAGTTTCCTTATTCTTTTTCTTATATTCTTGCTTTGGCAAGGCTAATTGCTGAATATTAGTGATGATTGCCGAGATAGCTGATGCCAAACATTTTTAAGGAGAATGTTTCTAACATTTTATCATTTGAAAAGATGTTTTTGTAGGTTTCTGGTAATAAGTCTTTATCAGGTTAAGGAAGTTTTCTTCTATTCTTAATTGTTAAAGAGCTTATGGGTGATAAATTCGATCAAATGCTTTTTGCAAGCCTTTTTCTTATTATTTTATAATATATATATATAAAATCTTTTTTTTTTTTTTGAGACAGGGTCTCTCTCTGTTACCTAGAGTGCAGTGGATAGGCATAGCTCATTGTAGCATTAACCTCCTTGGGCTCAAACAATCCTCCTACCTCAGCCTCCAGAATAGTTGGGACTACAGGTGCATGCCAGTGTGCCTGTCTAATTTAAGAAGTTATTTTATAGACAGGATCTCACTATGTTGTCAAGGGTGGTCTTGAACTCTTGGCCTTAAGCAATCCTCCTGCCTCAGCCTCTCAAAGTGCTGGTGCTACAGATGTGAGCCATTGCACACTGAAAAATCCTTTCACACCTTTATAATTCTTTAAATATATCCCTGTGTACTATTTGAAAATATTGTGTGTGTGTGTGTGTGTGTGTGTGTGTGTGTGTTTGCATCAGTGTTTATATAACTTTGTTTCCGCTTCTCCTTTATTTGCTTGTTTTAGGATCAAGGTAATGCTAGGTTTTAAAATGAGTTGAGAAGCTTTACCTCTTTTTCTGTGTTCTACATCAGAAAATGTTGTTTCCTTAATGGTTTTGAAGAACTTACCCACAAGATCATTTGGACTCATTCTTTCTTAGAAATACATCTTGTCAACATTCGACTATCATTTTTTTATAAAATATTTCATATCTTTACAAAATTTTCTGGAATCAGTTTTGGAAATATATATTTTCTGGAGGGGAGGCAGAGATATTTTTTTCTAGATTTTTAATTGTATTGATATATATATATGTTTAATATTTTAAATCCCCTCCTTATATGCAGTTAAAGACTATTATTTGTAATACTATTGATATATTTTGTATTTTCTCTATTAATCAAGCTTATCAAACTTTATCTTCTTTTTAACAATTTCATTTATATTTTCAAAGATTCAGAATTTAATTTTAATGATCCAATGTATGATTTTTAAAAATTATAAAGCATACATCCACATTTAACCACATTTATATGTGACTCAGTCAGGCTCTGTGCACTTTCTAAAATGATATGTTGTCCTTGTCTATATGGTTCCACTTGGCACAGTTTCAATGCAGTGGTTACCAGTATGGGATCTTTTATTATTCAGTTAAGTTTACTTTAAAATATAATCAGTTTAAAAGGATGCAAAAGCCCAAATGCAATTATGGCTGGAGATTCCTTTTTTCAGCTTCCAAAAGCATTGTGTCTCTAGTTAGACACAACCTCATGATACTTGGTTGGAATTTTCACTGGAAGGTCTGTGCTATTTGCTTCTTCTATCTACTCTTCAATAATTAAACAGGGCAATTTAACCAAATCCAATATTCTATTGTGCACTGAGGTCATCCAGTCTTGGTTAGAATTACAATTGTTTTGCTATCATTTCTTGTTTGACATTCCAAATACCCTCTGATATTTGAGGATATTGATATATACTCCAATAAACTAAAGACTACAAGTTCATTCTCCATGTCCAAAATTACAAAGCATTTCATGTGCTATTTGCATGTCTTCTTGACCCTCATAAAATTTGAATGGGCTTTGTATAAATGAACTCTAAAATGTAAAATATTTTTACTTAAGAAACAATCCTTCCGACATATTTGATCATTCAACTGTCACTAGAAGTGAAGAGTGTAAAATACTTTTTGGAAAACAATGTTTCCAAAGATTCACTCAGACATAAAGCACGCTATGCATTTCTCCCCCTGGTGGCTTAAAGCACCATAAACCACTGACTAACAGCAACAACAACAACAACAAAATGAAAAATAAAAAGCCTTTTTGACTGGTTGACATTTTACTTTTTTCAGGAAATAAAGGAAAAGATGTCCCGAAACTGCCAGTAGCACAGATCAAATTGAGAGGCCAGGTAGGCATCTACTTTTGCAAGAAAGGAAAAGTTGCCATTTCCTTGATAGTTTCAAGTCTCAGAGCAAACATTGGTCCAAAACCTGTAGTTATTTTATTGCTCACTTCCTGATTTATAGCTTTCAGGAACTGAGGATTGTCCTGCAACAAAGAGACATTGATAAGAAAGTGAAAGGTGTGATATACTGAAAACTGCTTACAAAGAGTATGTATAAAAATACTTTGAATATAACCATTTACTTATATACTTGGGTGTTTTGCCTTCTCTCCTATCTCTATCTTTGCATTATATTCAGTCTAAACTCCGATGGATTTTGTAGAAATGGATTCAGCAGTTTGGGATGCTTATTCCCTTCCACCTGTTCCAAACAGACACATTAACTATATACTGCAAAACTAAGCTGCCTTTTTCTCTTCTGTTCTCTTCAGATCTCTGTGATTGCTGAAGTTGAGCTGTTTTCATATAGGGAAGAAAAAGCCAACACCCTCTTTGCTCTGCAAACTGCCATTCATTTCAGGAAAATAACTGCCTGTTTGGCTGGGAATCCAGCTGCTTGTCATGTTAGACCATGTGGCGTCTGCTGCTGAGTCCAGCTGTACAGCCAAGATCAGTGCCCTAAGGACTGAGCACAAAAATGCTGTGATCCCTGGCGGTGACAGGGTCTCTGCTAACAAGCCTCTAGACATTCAAGATGAAATGTCATCACCCCAGCACAGCTATCACGGAGGATGAAACAAAGCATCTAAAGACCTTTAATAGCGCCAGAGTCTGGGAAATAAGTGAAGCATCCCAGGTGTAGTTCCCCATTCTACAGAGTTGATGTCAACTCTGTGAGCAACTGTGACCCCGTCTCTGTCACCTTTATCCCCAATTCTCAGAGAGGCAATGGTAACTCATGATAACAGGTTTTCCCATAATTGAGCTTGAAGCATTTTTGGATCTTACTGCTAGTTATTATCCATCACTCATCAAGTAATTGTTAAATGTCCATTTTGTATAAGTCCCTCTGCACAGAGTTGAAGTAGACAAAGAAATGGATAGTCATATCCTCCTCCTCCTTCATGGAATAGCAGGGAAGAATCATTCAATTTTTTATTTTAGGCCTCCAATCCTACTGTGTTAGCTGGATTCTTTAATCTCGGGCTTTCTTGGGGTTTTTGCGTCTTTTGGTGGTGATTTCAGGTTATATGAGGTTTAAGATGAGCTTGGCGAATGAGTCCATCTCATCCTTTAGTTATCTGTGCACACAGGTTTGTCCTGAGATGCCTATCATCTTGGTTAGCTTAGCCCTTCCTTGTCATTGCCTCTTTGCTGTTGGGAGCACCAGAATTATTTCTTCAAGTCTGCTCAAGGCACCATCTTCCAAAATGTATTTCCTCTCTTGAGTTTTGTCACCTCCCTGGAGAAAGTTCTGGGCATCCTACCCTACCTCACCCTTCCTAGAGAAATCTGCCTAGATTGGTGTGGATATTCCTTCTCCCCTTTACTTCTAGGCAGGTCATTTTCTTTGCACCAAAATTTCTCTTTCTCATTGCCTTTGGCCAAGACATTTTGCCCACATTCTGAATCCTCCCTAGTAGACATGTAGTCTTATAAAAACCAAACAAACAAAACCAGAGACATTAATAAGCTTTTGCTATAGTATGACTTTCCTGAGGTCTGCTTGAGTAAGAGGTAGGAATGACTAGGAGAGGGGAAAAAGAAAAGAAACAAACAAACAAAAGGAAGTGTTTGAAAGGATGTGGAACAACTCAAATTCTCAAACGCTGCAGTGTAAATTAATATAACTACTTAGAATCACTATTTGGCCCAATTTTCTCAAGCTGAACATAAGTGTATTTTATGACCAGTAATTCCACTCCAAGGTTCCCCTCAATCTAGCTGCATACAAAACAGAAATGCATACATATGTTCACAAAAAATAATTTACTAGAATGTTCGTAGAAGCACTTTGTAGTAGCCCCAAACTGGAAACAACCATATATCCATCCATAGTAACATGGATAAGTACATTGTGATATATTAATGTAATGAATCCTATATAGCATTTGAAATCAACAATCTATACCTGCATATTGAGATAGTGATGAATTTCACACACAAACATAAATGTTGAGTGAAAGAAGTCAGGCACAAAAAAGTACATATTATATGATTTGAATTATATAAAGTTCAAAAATAGACAATAGTAATCTTTGCTGTGGGTAGTCAGGACAGTAGTTAGCATGGGGCATTTGGTGACTAGACAAGGATTTGAGGTGGGTTTCTGGAAGGCTGGTGATGTTCTGATTCTTCACTAATATATTAATACCTATTGTACTGGGATGAATAAGTTCCCTCTAAAACTCATAGCCACTTGGATCCTCTCTGAATGTGACTTTATTTGTATATAAAGTCTATGAAGATGCAATCAAGTTAAATTGAGGTTATACAGGATTTAGGCTTTGCTCTAATATAGTGATGCATGTCTTTATAAGAAGAAGGAAATTTAGATACAGATACAGATAGAGGGGAAGAAATCCATTTGAAAATGGAGGCAGAGACAGGAATGAAGCATCTACAAGAAAAGGAATGCAAAGATTGCCAGCAACCACTAGAAGCTAGAAGAGAGGCATGGAATATATTCTTCTTCAGCCTCCAGAAGAAACTAACCTTGCTGACACCTTGATTTCAGACTTTGGAAATCCAGAACTGTAAAACATTAAATTCCTGTTATTTTAAGACACCCAGTTTGTGGCAAATTGTTACTGAAGCCCTAGGAAACTAACACACCTTATCTATAATTCTTGGCTTAGGTTATAGAAGAGAAGCTTTTAAATGGAGTATAGTTCAAAGAATTTGGGGAAGATTTAGAATGCAGTAAGCAGTCAGTATACAACACTCCACCATGATTTAATCCTTTAAAGTTCTATTAAACTAGCTCTGATCTTTTAACAAATGATAAAAGCTGGGCTCTCCTTCTGTGACTACTTCTACAGGCAATGCCCCCTGGAGAAGTTTCTATAAGCCAAGCATTGAAAAGGCATCTGTCCATTGGGATGTTTTCCTCCTGGTCAATTCCTTTGCTAGAACACATAATGCTGAAGCCCCGACACCTTTCTGGATTTGGAAAATAACGAGTAACATGTGCTATCTGTTGTCATCTATCTCCATCAGAGGTGAAAGCCCAGTCAATAGAAAATGACATTATCCTGGCTGTGGATATGGCTAGATTTTTCCATTGTCCAGTATTTTCTAGGAACTATATATAATGTGTGACCATAAGCATTGAGCGTGTTTTTAAAACATGCCAGGACTAATATATCCAAAGAGTGCCATCCATCAAAGTGGTTACTTTGGCACCACACACCTTACCATTGCTACCATCACTCAAAATGTTACTGGAACTCCTCTTGCGGAATTTTCTTCAAATCTGGTTAATGAACCACACAAGAAAATCAGCCTCATAAATTTATAGTCACACATAATTTTGACCGTTAAGAATGTCATCTTGCTTGATGTCTCTCACCCACCTCATCTATCAGAATTGACTTTGAATAACTTTTGACCATTTTCTCAAATAAAATCCACCATCCATGGAGAAATATTTGCCTCAAATGAGCACATCCAAAAGAATAATAGCTCTTAAAAGTCCTTTCAAAAGGTGGCTTAACACAGTGCCTTGCAAATGGTTGACACCCAATAAATATTTGTGAAATTGCTCTGAATGTCCTGTGTGGGTTCTGAAGACAGTACCAAAAAAATTCCTGAAATCCACAAAAACATATATTACAACAAATGTGTATTATAGGTAGGAAATGATATTCAATTATGTGTTTAAATTATAATACATGCTGAAACTATGTAATATCATTTTATTGGCGTATCAATAAGAAACATATCTTCCTAACCTTTAGGAGATACAACTTTATGGATTTCCAAATGATATACAAACAGCACACATGCAATTTTACTTACAATTAGGTTTTGCTTTTATTTTTTATTTTCTTGGATGACAGATAGCATAGCGAAACATGATTTTGTGTAAATTTTTTCATTGTTCCATTTTGTTGTTTGGCACCATCTATTCTTTTCTTTTGTCAAACTATAACTGTGAATCTAGAGGTTGCATTTGTAAAAGCAGCAGGAAAGCAGTTAGACAGCCTGATACAAAGACTGAAGTCGCTATCATTGGGGTAACTAATGCACAGTACTGTGAATTGTTTTCTGAGGCCAGGAACACCGCAGGATAAGGTTCAGTGAGGAAAAAATGGATTATAACTGAAGAATTGGATGACAAGTGTGACTGAATTGTCACCAGAAAAGAAAGTAACAGAAGATGTTAAACAAATAAAGCATTTTGGTGATTTCATATGTGCTAATATTTTGCTTCAGTAACCTTATCACTTAACCTGGTTTCTTAACTAGTCACTCTAACAGGTGTAAAATGGCAGGTCACAGGAAAGCCACTAATTTTTTAAAGAACGAGCATGAGATATTAGGCTTTAAAACTGGCTCAAATTGAAGGGATGTAAAATGGTGCAGTCACTTTGGAAAACAATTTGCAGTTTCTCCAAAGATTAAACACAGTTATCATTTGAGGCAGCAATTCCTCTCCCAGGTGTATACCCAAGAAGAGTGAAAACATGTCCGAGCAAGAACTTGTACAGGAATATTTATAGTAGCCTTGTTTGTAATAGCTAAAAACTAAAAGCAACCCAAATGTTGATAAATGGATAAAAAGAGCTGATACATTTGAATAAATAAAAAGTGATGTACCCATACAATGGCATATTGTTTGCCAATAAAAAATGAAATAATGATACATGCTACAGTATGAATGAAGTTTGAAAACATTATGCCAAGTGAAAGAAGCCAGGCACCAAAGACCACATATTATATGATTCCACTTATTTGAACTATGCAGAGTAGGCAAATCTATAGGGGTGAAAAATAGATTAGTGGTTGCCACAGGTTGTGGGGAGATGGGGGTGTTTAAAGAGTTACTACTAGCAGATATAGAGTTTTTGGGGGAGTGACGAATGTTCTAAAATCGATTGCAGTGATGGCTGCAAAAATCTGT